CCTGGCAGTGTTCAAGGCCAGGTTGGATGGAGCTCTGAGCACCCTGGTCTGGTGGAAGGTGTCCCTGCTTATGGCAAGGGGGTTGGAACCAGATGCTCTTTAAGGTCCCTTCCAACCCAAACCATTCTGTGATTCTATGATACACTGATATGTAGTGACTTTGAACTATGCCAGTATTTTCATCTCTCACCGGTCAACACATTTCTCACACAAGCAGCCCTCTACGAAACCATTTGCCACGGTGGAAACAAACAGGAGCAAAACCACCTTTGAAAACTGAGCAGGCACTTACCTCTCCTGACGTTAGCAGGCACTTGACATAGCACGGTTGAGCCAACGGCAACGTAGTAAGCAAGGCCAAAGCCATACTGCACGATATGAATGACGCCGTTGGAAAACACGCTGGTCCAGAAGCATTCTGCAAGTCTTCGACAGCTATGCAGCCAAAGCAGCAGGAGAACCAGGAGCGCAGAGAAGCGCTCGCTATCTGCTTGCAGATAAAAAACAACAACTTTGAGACAGATATGAACAAGCAAACCTCGACAGCACTTCAAAAAGGCTACTTTTTCCCCTCCTCACAGCAAAATTTGACCCTCATTTTAAATTAACTGAGCACTGGGGAAAATATTTGTATGTGCGAGGCTCTGCTAAAGATCACTTCCAGGAGGTGTGAATGGCCCCTTCTGCTAAAAGGACTGCTGAAAGCCATCTTATCCCTAAATTCGAATGATTTATGCCTTGAATGATGACAAAGGGACTTGGTATTCCAGGAAAGTCACCCAGAGCCTAGTTTAAAAGCAGCTGATGAAGTAGAACTTGAAGAATACAAATTCAGCACAGGACGGTAGTGCAGCTTTCTAATATTGACATGGCTGCATCGTAATAACCGAATACTTGCCAGTGTCCTCGCTCTGAGACTCTCTGCCAAGCGCACGGTGCACGTGCTGGATCCATGATGGGAGCGACCCTCCGAGGAACTCGGCTCGGAAAAGCAAGATCAGCAGAAAGCCGTTCCAGAGCACAGAAACCACATAAAAGTGAGTAAACCACCTGTGGGAACAAAAAGGGTCTTCGTTAACGTTCTCATCGCTCCTTAGTTGGAAATGGTCTGCAGGATATGCGTGCCTGATGGGGAGTACATTCCTTTTTGGTCCCCAGGTCAATGAGTAGAGAACTCAGGAGTCTCACAGAATCACAGAATGGTCGGGGTTGGAAGGGACCTCTGTGGGTCACCCAGCCCAACCCCCTGCCCAAGCAGGGTCACCCAGAGCAGGCTGCACAGGACCTTGTCCAGGCGGATCTTGAATATCTCCAGAGAAGGAGACTCCACAGCCTCCCTGGGCAGCCTGGGCCAGGGCTCCGTCACCCTCAGAGGGAAGAAGTTCTTCCTC